ATACTCACCCTGGATTCTGGAGGAGTTTTGGTGACTGTTTTCACCTATATCGGTGCTTCTGGTTCTTCTTTTGTAACTGGTTTGAGATTTTCCAAGGGATGGACACCTAGAAGTAGGAGTCTGTTTTTCTTCTGACACCCAATGGTGCAGTCACTATAGTTGATGACCTCAGTTAGATGTGCTCATGAACCTGTCAAACCTCCAGTTTATTTGCTTTTAGTAGAGTGGCCTCAGCTATCACTAGGAAGAGAAAAATGAGAAATGTAAATGCTTGAAGCTGGTGAAGTTTATTTGCCCACTGATGTTTGCCTTGTTCACAGTTCTTGGATTTGATGGACACTATAGATAAGCAGAGAGAAGAAATAGCCAGGAGTGGCAGGTGAGTTGAATTTCTGAGTGATTTATGCTCTTAAATAGCAGAACTGGGCCTTCTTCATTTCCTAGCAGAAATCACCCACCGTTTTATTTTTTTTTTCTTTCTTTTCCCCCCAAATGCAGGTTGTCTGCAGCACGTGTCAGCCAGCTGCAGGAAGCATTGGATGAGCAGCACTCTATCATGAATTCACTGAAAGCCAAGTATGGAGGAGGAAAATCTCAGCCTTCCCACTGTTCTGTGCCGTATAGGCAGCGCTGAGCAGCGCTGTTAAGAGTGGGGATACTCTTGCAGAGTGTCTGGCTTACTGTTTCTCTTAGTTCTGCGGTTATATCTAGAAGTTACAATCAGATCAGGCCTTTGGGTTTGCTGCACTAGATACTTAGCCTGCTTTTAGGTAAAATTACAGTGCATTGGTGTAAAAGCAAGTGAATTACAGAGTGTGGAAAGGAAAAAAAAAGGATTGTGGCCTGGGGGCACGTTCCTTGCACAGTTTACAGCCTGGCAAGAGTCTGTACGTGCTTCTGCTGGCAGTTGGCAGTATCCTCCCAGAACCACTGTGATGTGAAGGAACCTAACCAGCAAGACTGTGTGCTTAGAGACAGTGAGGTGAAGCTGCCTAAAAGCATTGTTAGATTGTACAGAACCATAGGCATGTGGCTGGTTAGACTTCAAACACTGACGAGCCTGGCTCATTCAGTTCTGTCAGGTGAAGGTAGTTCTGTTACGCCATGCCTCAGTGCAGACACATCCCTCACGTACAGAGTCAGCAAATTGCTTCTGCTGCTTGTTTAAAATTCTTCCCCTAATTTCGATCAACCTTGCAGTGGTGTAGAATATCCAGCTTTGTTCTCCTGTCAGAGTGGGCAAATCCTGGAGGGGTCCAGGCAGGGAAAACAGCTCAAGGAAGACAACACAGGGAGGACACAGCAGGGCACCCTAACACCAGGCTCTGAGAAGTCCCAGGGCCCTTGCTGTTTGCAGAGACTGTTGGGCACAGACATAAGCGGTGCCCTTTTCCCAAGGTCAAAAAATGCCTCATTTAGCTACTGTGATTCCTTCTACTGCCAAATACGTGTTGACATTTTGTACTGTAGAGAGCTCACTGGAAGTCTCCCTTAAGAAGGACTCTGGAAGGTGTTTCTCTGTATAGGCTGCAGATGACTGAAGCTGCCCTGGCTCTGTCTGAGCAGAAGGTGCACGATCTGGGAGAGCTGCTGAGTGCCTCGAAACAGGAACAAACCAGCATGGCCGAGCGCCACTTTACAGAACTCCAGAAGCAAAAGCAGGTGAGCTGGATAAGTCCTAGTTGAGCTTGAGCGCAGGGTTTGAGATCATATGTGTTTTGTGTAGATTTAGGGATGCTGGATGGGATAGGCAAGCGTGATTTTTAGTGGGTTAACCACAGCTGCCGTGACAAAAATTCTTGTGTAAATTAAATAGGTGATGCTAGGTGTGGAGAGGAGCCCTGGTGTTTATGGGGTAGGTTGCGTTCGGTTGGGTGTGGTGTTGGTTGGAGTAGGTTGGCAGCACAAGACCTAGGGTGAGTATGGGTTCATAATTTTGATTCTGTTTGCAGGAAGGTGCTGATCGGGAGGGCAAGCTTTTGCGTGACTTGTCTGCTGCCAGTGAGAAAAATCTGCTTCTAAGAAACCAGGTAGGAAAGCAAGTCCAAGGATGAGAAGAGGGACTTGGACATCGTTCAGTTCTGCTCTGTATAACCTCTACTGTATATCCTCTGTATGCCCTCTACTTTGATTCTTGTTTGTGTCTCTGCTGATGGTTCTGTACAGACAATTTTCTCTGCTAATAGGAGAAGAAAATCCTTTGTGGTGGTAATTTCCTTGTAGGTGGATGAATTGGAGAAGAGGTGCAAAGTTCATTCCAGGTAAAACAAGACTTGACCAACACAACAGCAGAGCTGAAGCTGCGGGTCGTGCAGGCTGAGGGTGAGTAGAGGAGCAGAAACAGCTCATGGGCACCTGTGGGTCAGGGTTCCTGTCCATGACTGAACAGTGCAAGGCAGCCAAAGAGAACATGTGGAGGAGTATAACATATGATAGAGTATAAATGTAGCTTGTGTAGCAGGTGCCTGATTTTAATCTGCAGAACGCCTGGAAATGGAGAAGAGACGATTTAAACAAAGCCTTGAAGACGTGGAATCCCTCCGGGTGAAAGAGGTAAGAATGGGGTTTCTGCAGCACCCTGAGGGTACTCTCTCTCTGGTCTTGACATACAAGTATCATCAGAGGTCATTGTTAGCTGTCAGCCACTCTTAAGCAAGTTTAAAAATCAGTGTACTCAAACTTACTGTGGGAATAATAGGCCACTTCTGCAAGCAAAGGCTAGCTGAAGAGATCACAAGAAGATCTACCAGCTGGTAAGATTTTGTAGCTTGCAAGAGCTTGGGCCAGGGTGGTACATGATTCCACAGAAGAAGCTTGGAGGCTGGCCCTTGCGTTAGCCTTGCTGTGCATAGAGGTAATTATGAATAACCGGTCTCGTCCTGGTCACTGAAATCAAGATGTGTTCATGGAGGAAATCAAGTCATACGTGCTATATACAACTAGTCCTCTAAGTGGGCTCAGTTCTCTGGTTACTTCTCTGTTCCTTCTCTGTTACCTACTTAAGTGGTTTCTGCTGCTTTGCAGGTGGATCATATGACACAGCACATTGAGGCCTGTGAACGTTCCACGCAGGATAGGATCCAGAGGCTGGAGGCTATCAGGATAGCTCTGGAGGAGGTGAGAATGGGTGCTCCAGGCACGTTAGAGTGCTCAGTAGTGGTGGCAGGAGAAGGCTGCCAGGGGAGCTTGGTGGAGTCTTCCATTGGTGACCTATGTAAAGATTGTCATGTGCTGTAGGAAGGAACAGAAAACAGCAGTTTACCACATAGAATTATTTTTACTGCTTTGGACTAAGAAAGGAGAAGTTTCCGAGGAGAAACTTGTAGATCCTGACTGAACAAAAATAAAGGTTCCACTGAACATCATTAGATTCTTAAAAGGATTTGACTTCACAGGTTTTCCATAAGGTCCCAAGTAGCGCAGCGTATTTCTCCTTATCTGTTCTTCCAGCTAGATCCAGCACTTCCCTCTCTTGTTCCCCAGCATTTGGATAGCTTCACCCATAACTGAAATTCTCATTGGATTTAGATGGCGATCTCGTAATGAGAAAATACATGTAGTCTGGGTTTGTTTTCCCTCCCCCTGAGTGAGAGAGGCAGCTGTGTCATGGTGTAGCCTGCGACTGGAAGCTCCTCGTGTTTTCTGGTCAGTGCTTCAGTTATGCAGCTTCTCTATCTGGGGTGACCTTTGGTGTTTCTGTGGCAGGAGCTGAGCCAAGTCAAAGCAGCTGCGCTCACTGAGCGAGGCCAGGCAGAGGAGGAGTTAATAAAAGTCCGGAATCAGGCACGGTTGGAGGAGGTAAGGACAAGACCTGTCTGTGGGCCTTGCCTGTGTGGGAAGGCCAGGCAGCCAAATCCACTCCTGTTTTTGTCTTGGGGAACTGCTGAGTAACTCCCTGCTCTGCGTTTCACTGGCCTGCAAACAGTGCAATTTCTGAGGAGAGAGTCCTGAAAAGTCTGCTTTTAATTATCTCCAGAACGTAACCACTATCTCCACCTGCTCTGTGCTTCCCAGTAGTAACAGAATTGTTGTGGATATTGGCATAGCAGATTTACTTGAATTTGCCAACTTTTGAAGCTAAGACCAGATGTTGATCTTTCTGTTTGAGAGAAGCTTTCATGGGCTGCTCCTCTTTCTCTGGATCCAGAGGAATTTATGCAGGTGGTTACTGCTGCTGGATTAAAAAAGTCATTTTGTGAAACTTTGTGAAAATGGCAATGAAGTCAACAGCCTGTGAAGGAGAACAAGGGATGGGGAAAATACACCAAAACCATTAATCTGTTTACTTTCATATAACATCAAGAAAGAGAATGCTTCACTGAGTTACAGACATAGAAAAGCTGCCATGTGTGTCATGGTGGGACATGGCAGTTGCTCAGCTGTGGTTTGGAGCCGTTTGGGATACGGAGGAAATGAAGATAGAGCATTAGTTGTAAACACCAGCGGTGGCACTTGTGCTTCTAGCAAGGTTGTGCCCTTGTTTCTCAGTGAGTGAGCTGGATGTTGCAGTGTCTCCATCAGAATGCTTTCCCTGGCAGCAGAAAGCAGCTTAGAATCACCCCTGAACGCAAGGGAGGTGTGCCGTGTCCGTAACGGCCAAGTGCTGTGCTTGTTCTTCAGCGCCAGTTGACTGAACCAAGGGTTCACTGTGCTGAGTACGAAAAGGGGAGAATTCCTTCACAGGAGTGGAATGGGGCTGATGTATTTTTATTTTCCTTTGTGTCTTACAGCAGCAACGCCTAGAACACCTAGAAGAAAAGCTGCGGCTGATGACCGAGGCACGGGATGAAGCTCAGAACTGCTGCCTTAAGCAAAAACAAATGGTTGCTGAGGCCCAAGCCAAAGCAAATCAGTTGAGCCTGCATGCTGATGGACTCAGGAGGCGGCTGGAGGAACTCCAGCAGGTAATTTGGACTGGTCACCATGGGGACAGAACAACTTGCTGAAGTTGTTTGGTTATTCATGCATTTGTCTTTTATATGTCAGGACCTGAACAGTAAGGAAGAAGAGAAAGTGACAGAGGTGAATAAAGTGAAAGTGGAGTTACGGGAGCAAATTGGACACCTGCAGGCTGAACGCACTGCACAGGATGGGCTGAGAGAGAAGATTGCAGCCCTGGAGAGACAGCTGAAAGGTGATGGATCTTTTCATACTTCCCAGGTGGTAATGCTGAGTTCCTGCCGGAACTGAGCTATGCTTACAGGTGGTGACAACGGTGCTTCCTGCCCATGCGTACAGCCATGAATTGTGTGCTCCATCCTGATGCATTTGCCTGGAACTGAGCTGGAACTGGGCCTGGAACTGAGCTATGCTTACAGGTGGTGACAACGGTGCTTCCTGCCCATGCGTACAGCCATGAATTGTGTGCTCCATCGTGATGCATTTGCAGGGCTTCTTGTCCTCGTTTTATAGAGACCAGGACTCAGATAGCCACCCAAAGCTGCAGAGCAAGCAAAATGATTGGATTTTCTGCGCAGTGAAGTGTAATATCTTGTCTGTGCAAAACCTCTCACATTGTCTTGTGCAGCTTCTCTCCTTTGCCTGTTGATAATCCAGCTCCCATTGCCTCTGTTGTGTTGTTCCTGTTTATTCTAGGGACACCCTCATTTTCTTTGCTAATGGTGCTCTTCTTTCACAGCCCTGTCAAGTAATCACCGTGAGGCACTGCTGGACAAAGAAAGTGAAATCTCTATGCTGCTGGAGAAGCTGAGAATGAAAGAGGCTGACATCTCCAGGATGAGGGAAGAAGAGGCCCAGCGAGCCAGTTTCTTGCAGAATGCCATCATGGCATATGTGCAGGGCTCCCCCTTGGGAACCCACAGTTCTAGGAAATGAGAATTGTCGTAACAAATCCAGATACCTGCTTTCAGGAAGAGGATGAACAACTCAGGCACAGCCCCTTCTTTCTAAATGGGACAATTTTGTCAGAGTGGGGTGATAGTGAAGGCTTGCAAACACAGAGAGTTTTTCTTGCTCTTCAGAAATGTGGAGAAGGAGACAACTGTCCAGGGCTGGGGTACAGGCTCATCAGTCTGAGTTCATGATGTGTAGCCCTTCCCCTTGCTGCTACAGCATTTGAAGTAGTTTCTATGTCCTTTCCCCTGGGCAGCAGTCCTGAAACAATCGTCTGGGTGCCAGGGCTGTTGACAGTGAGACCTGATAAACAGTGGGCAGCAGGTCTTACAGCTCTGTCTAGGTGGCAGCGACTTACTTTACTCGTGGGGTCCGGAAACTCCAGCTCTCGCCTGCTCTCACCTGCTTCTGTGCCCAGTGCTTACAGGTGGAAGCAGTGGCTGACAGGGCTCACTCTGGCCCTTCTACTCTGCCCCTCTGTGGCCCTGGCTGTGGTGACCGACAGCAGATACTCATGCACTGGACGCAGAAACAGCATCGCAGAGGCGGCTGCTGTGCTGGGACTCTGTGTCCCGGTGGACAGCTGGGCTTTGGCCATGTTTCAAGCCTCTGCACCACCAAATGGCATGGAAAGGGGTGGGTGCTGGGGACCAGCATCCCTGCCTTTGCACTGTGACCTGCAGCCCCCGGCAGCAGTTCCTTGCAGAAGTTCTCGCAATGGGATTTCATTCCGATATAACAAATGGCAAAACTGTCCTACTGGCTTCCCGAGAGCCTGGAGCTGAGTGCTCTGTCATCGACCTTACTCTGGTGAGGAGCGATACTTCTGACTTGCCCCTGGCGAGCTGCATCTGAGAGCACAAAGGGGAGAAGGTGATCCCTTTTCCTGGCAATGTGGGGGCCTGAATCGCAGAAAGCAGAGACCTCTGTCAGGGCAGGGACAGGAGAGCTTGGTTTCTCCAGAGAGCCTGTGGTGGGAGAAATTAACATGCAATACTTATTTTAAGAGGCAACTGGGGAAAGCAGCTTTCTGTGTGGACTGGTTGGTTTGCGTTCATGATTTTTCATATGGGGTTTTGCTCTGCTTTTTTAATAAAAGAGGTTTTGCATTTTGCCATAACACGGGACAGTGACAAGCTGGATGTTTGGCTGCTGTGCAGGAAGGGTTCTGCTGCCGTGTTACTTTTCATGAAGATCCTGCTCGTCTGCCCTGGCGCCAAAAGCCTCTGAACAGGTGGATCCGGTAAGTTTGTCTGCAGGTTTTTGGTTCTGAAGTAAAAGCAAAGAAGCCGGGAACCTGTGGCCCACGCGCGGGGAGGGGAGGGCAGGGGGGCCGGGGTGGTCCC